TTGAATTTTAGATCTAGAGAAAACTAAAATTTTAATTAGAAAATTCCCACAGACGGCGCCAAATTGTTTGACTCAAAAGTTGTTTAACACTTTTTAAGCAAATCAATCAAATAGATGAAGGGGTAAATCCTAGTTAAAGATAATTAACTCTAGATCCAAGACGAATAATATGAGTAGAAAAATATAGCCGAGTATAAATATTGGGCATGATTATAGCCAGATTTAATAACATAAAGAAAGATGCATTGAATAACATTAAATGGCAATAAAATGTAGATAAAGGAAAAGATTCACCCGATCTTGAGTTAGTCGGATCTTCTTTCATTTGATAAAGATGAATGATAGACAAAATACAAGAACCATTGGACCCTTTGTGGATCTGATGAAGGTTTTGGATCACAGATCCTCTTCTCTCTTTTGGGAGATGTGTTTACATATTTTCTAGAAAGAGGGAGAGGAAAACCGAGAGAGAGCCCCCTCAATGGGAAGTCCTCGCCTCCTATTTATAAGGGGGGATATCCATAGAAAATCCTTACAAAAGGTACAATTTAGAGAGAATATTCGGTAGAATATTCCTTTTGAGTATTCTAAAGCAAACTAGCAGTTTCATGACTGTCCGTCCTCGGCCTGTCCGACCTCGGCCTATCCGACCATGACCTTCTTGATGACGGTCCGACCTTGGCTTTATTGATGACGTTCCGACCTTGACCTGTCCGACCTTGGCTTTATGTCTTCGCGTGCCGAATTTCTCTGGTCTAATTTTGACCCATACAGGTTTATTTCGGTTCGGTTTTCGGTTTGAACATTATCATATTGGGCTCATTCTATGTAATAATAGGACTGGCGAATTTGTTGTTTTTTCCCAAAACTTCGGACTTCTTGGGAATATTGTGTTTATAAGAAAAAATATATTAAACTTTGCACACTATTATGGATCATAAAATTCAAACATAGTGTAAATTACAACTTTGTGTGAAATACTCCCGGTATACTATCATATAGGCTATGGAAGTTTTAATAGAGTAAAGTCTTTAAGATTGGGAAGATGATGGACTTACTTATAGCCTGTTTGGCCAAGCTTCTAAAATCAGCTTATTTTGAGAAGTGCTTTTCTCAAAAGTACTTTTTAAAAAAGTGCTTTTGGTGAGAAGCAGTTTGTGTTGGCTAATTAATTTGAAAAGCACTTTTGAGCAGTAATTAGTGTTTGACCAAGCTTTTGAAAACTGCTTCTAAGTGTATTTTTCTCAGAAGTGCTTCTCAAAAAAGTGCTTTTGCAGAGAAGCTACTTTTTTCTGCTTCTCCAAAACTGCTTCTGCTTCTCCTCAAAAGCACTTTTTTTTCCTTCCAAAAGCTTGGCCAAACACCTCAAATTTTGGCCAAAAGTGCTTTTGGCCAAAAAAAGCACTTTTAGCCCAAAAAAAAGCTTGGCCAAATAGGCTATTAATTGGGTTGAGTCTTTGATAGATTGGACCTAATAGTATTAATTTATTACCTATGGGCTTAGCCTATATATAACTTAAAGAACCTATATGCTAATAATTCGGTTTTTCAATTTACCGAACTAAATAAATTAATAACCGAAAACCGAATCGAAAAACTGAAACTTTAAAATTTTAAACCGAACCCGACCGAACAAACTGAATAACCGAAATCGAAATAAAAATATTTTCGGTTTGGTCGGTTTCTTCGGTTCTGACTAGGGCTGTGCATAATTTGGTAAATACCGAATTACCGTACCGAAACCGAAAATTTTGATATTTGGTATTCGGTATGGTATTTGGTTTAAGTTTTAAAAAAGTATGGTATTTGGTAATTTTTAATGAAATACCGAAATACCGATACCGTACCGAAATATATATTATAATTGCACAAAACACATATTATTAATTATAATATAAATATAAACAATCGAAATTTTACTTTCATTTATTCTTTAAGTTCATCAATTAACTCTAAGCAAGTAAGAAGATGTTTCTAGTGATCGAATTTGTTCCTTTATGTGCAGTTTTCTCTCTCTAGGTTGATATTTGCTGGTTTTGGACAAAACTTTTATCAACAAACGTTTTCTGGTTTGTACTTTTGAGTACTTTAATTAAGAATATTATAGTCATGACTCTACGCACTTGTTAGTATTCAAACCGAATAAACCGAAGTTACCGAACCGAATAAACCAAAACCGAAAAGAGAAAAATCGAACCATACCGAATTTAATTAGCTACGGTATTGGTATAGCATTTTAAGAAACCGAATATCAAAAATACCGAACCGAAATGTCTAAATACCGTATCGTACTGACCGACGAAAACCCCTAGTTCTGACCGAAATATGCTCACCCCTAGTTTTAAGCACGCACTATGCTTATTCTTAGTACTTCTTAAGTTTTTTATTTTTTTGGTTTCCCATCCGGTGTCCGATACCCACATTGGGGCCCGACTAAATCTGGATTCGCGCCGGAAAGTCCCACAATGGGGGGTAATGCGCTCCCTAACAAAGACGATTCCATACCCGGCTTTAAAAAGCTTAAGAAGGCTAATAAAAAATGAATATATATTCTTTCGTTTTTTATATCAAATTCCAATTATACAAATCTTTGATGGAAGCATAAATTTTATGGGAAAAAGTATATTCTATTAATCCCCGTAAATGAGATCGTCCAAGAAAACAAAAGAAAATTTGATCCTGTAAATGGAATAATTTTCTCTCTCTCTCTAATAATTCACAATAATAAGTATCACATATGGCAAATTGGCAACTAGTTAGAACTATGCAGATAAAATTAGGTCTACTTTGACAAGCGTAGGGGAGTATCAAATATTTCTTAAGGACAAAGCAAAATCCAATGTAGGGCACTCATAGAAAAGAAGAAAAAAAGCCAAATATATTGTCAAAATTATATGAAGCGCCAATCATGGAACCACATATCAAATTCGTGTTAAGGGTCATCACTCTGTTTTGCTTTGACTAAGACCTACTTATTTCCTAGCTCTTTCTTATCCATTTTCCTCTTTCCAACAATAGGCGGACCTATGTGTAGCACAGAGGTGTTATTGGATCCTGCAAACATTGGCATATACACACACCTTGAAAATTATTATATAAATAACTTGGTACCCTTAACATTAAAAGTCTTTACGGCCCAGGGGCGGATCCACGCTTAGCGAAGCGGTGTCACGCGACACCGCTTCGTCGAATTTTTTTACTAATTATATATCTATTAATATTGTGAGAAAACGGATAAGTAGGAAAAAGTGACAACACTTGAAATAAATTGTCTCTTGGTTTGTTGGTTATGACTTGATTTTGCTCCGAGAGGTCAAAGGCTCAAACCTCAACTAGCGCATCCTTTTTGCAAATATTTGAGAGAGCCTATGTGGTTAAAATAGTGATGAAGTAGAATTAAACTCATGACTTTTTCTGCTTAAAATTCAACAAAACCAATAGACTAAGATTATTTCTTGTTTAGAAGTATGATAATTAACACTATTATTCCTGTTCTTCTATAAATTTTGACATCGCTTATAAAGATTCCTGCGTACGCCCCTATTTACGGGGCACTAATTGAGCAAAATAATAGTGCCTCCTCACGAAAAAAAATTATAGCTTTTCCGACTAGTGATGAACTGATGATATTAACAATAGTATCAGCTGATCATATTAGCTAAGTCTTGCTTTGAAGAAAGGTGAGGGGAAAAAAAGGAGTGAAAAGAAAGGGAAAAATTCTAGCCCCACATCATTCAGCAAGTGTGTTGATTAAACGTGTATGTAATTAATCATCCCATACAAGACATTTACACACTGCTTAAACTCCTAATTAATTCATATATATGATATTCCTTCCATCTGGATAGGGATCATGTAAAATTGTAGGCGAAACTGAAAGATTGGAACGAATATAGTATAGATGTGAACAGTTGGAAGAGACACGTCCAAACAACACTTTTGATGAGTGCCAATTTGAGCCCAAACTCATTTGACCCGTCCAACTCGTCCAAGGTTGGGCTGATTATTGACCTGCCCATTTGTTGAACTTAGCCGTCTTAACCCAATCCATTTCAATGTTGGGCTAATATTTAACCCAAATTGATTCATGTGTAACTTTGTTAAATAATAATTTTTTTGTTTGATATGTTATATATGACCATAACAAAAGAAAAAAAGATCTTATTTGACAATTAAATAATCATAAGAAAACAATACACATAAATAAAGTTTGGTACGAGTTGGAGGGGTTGGACTATAATAAATCCAACCCGCCCATTTTGACACCCCTAATTTTTGACAGGCATAAAATGACAATGATCCACACATGCTTGAATCTTGATACATGTGTGGATCAAGTAGGGGAATTTGAGTAAAATAGAAATATCGAAACCCCAAGAAAAGCAACGCTGTGAACCTACTTAAATTGAAATTTTGAAATCTTGTTATGGGTTCACGACTCAAGTTTCAACCACTGAATTCATCACCTCATTTGAGTTTTTAGTTCACAAATTTAATATTTTCAACAATTTGAGTGAATTTTACACAAATAATTCTAGGTCTAAAAGCTATCACAATTACAATACTAGATCTGCCCCTGGTTTGAAGTTCTTTAACATATCATCAATTTCTTTCTAAAATATATATGTTTATGTATATTGTCTGTTTAATCTTCACATGTAATTAAACTAATACTACTACAAGCTTAATTTGCTTGGAGAAAAGTCCAATTTTCTATCCAATTGACATAGAAAGCCAAAGGCATATTTACACAGTACAAGACTTTAGCTAGCTAGCAGAACCTGAGTGGATTTTCCTCTGTATTTTATTCCATTCTAGTAGAGATCGAATCTTTCCCATGTTTTCGCCATTGTTTCTGTCACATCCTTAAGGAATTCCATTCTCTTTCATTTCAACCACAAAAATCTTCCATATTACACCATCTCCTTAACTTTACATCCTTCTCAAACAAATTCCATTTCTTGAAACTTCTAAATCTCTTCCCCTATATATACATTCTCCCATTCATAATACTCCAAAGCAAGAAACAGCAGAAAAAAGAGAGGGAAAAAAATGTCACACATGCCTGCATTTGGTCGAAGAAACCATGCACACCAAGTGTTCGATCCTTATTCTCACCACGCACACCACCAAGTACACGACCCTTTTGCTCATCTTAATGAAGTGTGGGATCCTTTCCATGAATTTTATCTGGAAACCCCTCGATCTCTTATAGCACCAGCACCATCTTTCCACCATGCACCTGCAACGATGGCTCAAATTGAGTATAAAGAAACACCTGAGGCTCATATATTTAGAGCTAATTTGCACGGCTACAAGAAAGAAGAAGTGACATTACAGGTATCCTTCTTACCACTAAATATATTATGCTTTTGAAATTATGGGCTCAAATTTTAGTGATTTCTTACTCTCCGTCTCATTTCAAGTGTTATTTAGCCCAAAAAATGTGTCAAATATGTGCCGCTTTAAAAATCCAAGACAATTAATTTTATCTTTGCTATTATAAAGAGGTCAAAAGTGATTAAGGGTGATTTGCACAAATATGACACTTCGATGCGACTATTGATTTTTTGAGATCATTTGCTCCGTGGACAGAACTTTAAGTTTAGCGAGTGTTGTCAATCCCTTGCCCTATGGGCAATAATTTTGACTTTTGACCTTAAAGGTTTGCCCATGGGGCAAGCCAGGTAAAAAAATCAAGACCATTCATTTTCAAGGTTATTGGGTGTAATTACACTAGTGATTAATTAATAGTACTATCGGATTTCGAGAGTCAAATAAGCTTTTCTATGACCATAATTTTTTCAGTTGCCTTTTAAATATTTTAAATTGTTAATTGTTGTGACTTATATTGTATTCCATTTGTTCCAATTTATATGAACCTATTTGACTGAGCACGGAGTTTAAGGAAGAAATAAAGTCTTTTGAAACTTGCGGCCCTAAACAAATCATAATATTTGTGGGATATAATCCTTTTGAAACTTGTGGAAAAGCTTCTCATTAAGGGTAGAATTGAAAGTTTAAGTTAAATTGTTTCTAAATTTAGAAAGAGGTCATTCTTTTTTAAACAGACCATAAATGAAATAAGTTCACATAAATTAGAGCGGATGGAATACTTTATGGATAGTACCATTTAATAGTCAAATAATAACATTTATGGTTAATTTAGCAAATTATACTTTGTACTTAGTATTTTTTTAATGGACGTGCAAAAATCTTAAATGGCACTTAAAATAGAACGGAGGAAGGTATATCAATGATTCGTGCAGAATATGTTGAGTTTAACTGAATACGTTGATTATATGCTACATATGCTTGTGTAGGTGGAGGATGACAGAGTGCTGAAGATTACTGGGGAAAAGAGAATGAGGAAAGATGATAATCACGATAATTGGAACCATTATGAACGCAGCAGTGGAAAATTCTTCACTTCCTTTTCACTGCCTATGAATTCTAGGGCTGATTCTGTGAAGTCATCCATGGAGAATGGAATGCTTACTATCACTGTTCCTAAGAAGGAAATTACCAGGAACCGCCACCATATCAGAACTGTTGAAATACGTTAATTAAATAAAAGGTTGAATTTGATGGTATGTCTTGTTTGGTACTCCAAATATAATTGTGGAATGAGAAGTAAAATAAAGAGAGAGTAAAATGTTTTACTGCATAATATGGAGAGAAAAGAAAAGTGAGCTTGGTATATGCTTGTGTAATATTAGTAGTAACTACTTTATAAATAAATGGTGTTTCTATTTCTTTCATTGTTCTTCTTTCCTTTTGCTTTTCATTTTGAGCTAAATTATTATTTCGGTCGTCATTAGTATTAAAGACGTAACTAAGTTATTAAAATCAGTCACTTCTACTTCTAATACATGATCATACATGACTCAACATTCCTTTAATTTCCTGTGATATGAATGGGCATCTTGATAGCAAGAACAGAGACAAAAAGAAGACAACACTATTAAGCAAAAACAGAGAATAAAGAGTCAAGAGAAATTATTTTTCTGCACTATTCTCGCAGATTTTTATAGTCAAAAGATGCAACAAACTTAAGAAAGAAATTTGTCCCTTAAGTATAGGCATAGAACTAACTTTGTCCCTTATTTGCAGTATTAAATGTAAAACATCCCTTATCTCTTTCTGTGTGACTAAATTTGTCGTCCAGAAACAATTTCTTATTGTTACATAGGAACTAAAAAACTAATAGTATTACCTAAATGGTTGTTTCTTTATGATAGAACAATGAAGAAGCAGATAGCTTTCCCTCATATTGATTGATAATAGGTGAATTTGACTATAATCACACCTTAAATAATCACTTTCTTGTGTAGTTTTAATGCTAAAAGTGATGACAAAATGCTCTTATTAGTGCTTTTCATGATTTGTAGGTGATATATGCATAAAGACGGCTAAGGAGCAGTTTTAGAGTCAAAAGTGATGAAAAAGAGGCCAACTGTGAAACTTCCCAAGTGACCCGTGCAAAAACAGGCCGAAGATTCAGAGAACTGGATCCACCGCGGTTCCACCGCGACCGCGGCAGAACCGCGGTGGGAAGCAGCTGCAGAAGTTCAGAGATGCCGCGAGGGTGTTTGGCCGCGGTTCTACCGCGACCGCGGCAGAACCGCGGCAGGCGCAGAAACTTCTGGGACCAAAGTGTCAATTACGGGATTTTTAGACCTAAACCCTATTTAAAACATTAGACTTCGCCCAAGAGAGGCATGTATTGATTTTTTAGGTTTCTTAGCAAGGAAAACAATTGTGAGAAAGTACTCTAAACATCTTTCTTCTTTTCTTTTGATTTTATGATGAATTCAAGCTTAGTTTATTCTCCCATATCTATGAGTAGCTAAAATTCCTTGTCTAAGGCGTTGATGGAACCTATTGGGTGATGAACTTCTTGTTTATGTGAATACAAATTGCTAGTTTAATCTTTATTTGTTCAACTTCGTGTTCGTTGTAGTTAATTGACAGGATCCTCAATTAGCTGTGCCTATTTAGTGTGCATAACTTGGAAAAGAGTGCATATTTAGGGTATTGTTGAAAAACACCACTCCTAGATTATTAGAGGAATCTATAATTGCGGGTTTAAAGGCGGGGATTAGGAATAACGAAGCCTTGGGTGCAATCTAAATTGAATTGTGCTAAATAAAGTAAGCTAGTGTATCTCGGGAGAGTGCAATAGTAAATTACTGTGATTACTCGGGAGAGATTTACGGTAAGATCAGCGTTCATGATTGATAGAGATGTGTTGGTAAATTTGTATGAGCATAAACAGAAGGGATTCCATCAATAGGGGAAATCATTGCCTTAGCATTTTTCTCATAATTGTTTACAACCTTATTAGTTTAGTTTACAGCTATTTAGTTACTTGCAAGCTAGTTGTTAAAGAACACTCAACTGAGATTTGAATATTTGGGAAGCTGGTTCTGAAGACTTAGTGGGTCTGAAGATAGCAGTTGATAGGTTAACTCTCTGTGGATTCGACCCTGGGCGTAATACTCGGGTTATATTTGCAACGTCCGCATAGTCCTTTTTATAAGGCATAGTTGGGCGTGATCACATGACTTCGTTTTTAACACACTGAAAAAATTACAAAACTTCCTTCTTTCTGAAAATAGTGCATTCTAATTCGCAGTCTCTCTCTCAAATTTGTAAGTGTGATTTTGCTCCGTTTTTGAGTTCGTTGGTATCCTGTAGTTTGTATTGCCACAGTTACAGGAAGGTTTATTCCGTTTCATCCTGGGAGGATTTAATCCATTACCTTGGCAACGTGTGAGGGGGTTAAAATTCCTTAAGGACGCACAAGCAAATTGTGGACTCGGAATATTTCTTATTCTTTACGTGTTTTTCCGGTTTC